GAAGTCTCAATCCAAACACCTCAATGTCCAAATAGCAGCCTCGGAGAAGCTGGCCCAGTGTCCCCCCGTGAGTGCTCAGAACTGGGGGAGGGAAGGGAGGGTGTGCATTTGGGTTCTCCTGTTTCCTTCAGCCTGCATGGAAGACATCACCTGGGTTATAGACTGGTCCTTGGATAAAGAGGGTTGGCTGGTGGGCAAATGACTGAAACACTCATTAGTGTAGAGCCAAGCCCTGGTTTCCTTACTCCTAGAATTTGAGGGAGTCGGGCTCAGTCCTGTAGTTCTGTCCTTCGTAGGTCTGCGTGTCCTGTCCTTGCTCCACATCCAGAGGCCTTTTAACCTTGTCCTTCAACCCCTTGACTCCACCCACTGCACCCAGGCCACACCTTCAACCCTTGGTCACGCCCCCGCTCATCCCAGCCCCGCCCCTAACCCCACCTCCACAGGAAATGTTTGACATAATACTGGATGAGAACCAATTGGAAGACGCCTGCGAGCACCTGGCAGAGTACTTGGAAGCCTACTGGAAGGCCACACACCCGCCCAGCAGCACGCCACCCAATCCGCTGCTGAACCGCACCATGGCTTCCGCAGCTCTGGCTGCCAGCCCCGCCCCCGTCTCCAACCTTCAGGTACAGGTGCTCACCTCGCTCAGGAGAAATCTCAGCTTCTGGGGAGGGCTGGAGGCTTCACCGCAGGGAGGCAACGCGGTGGCCCAGCCGCAGGAGCACGCCATGTAGCAGGTGTCTCTCCGGTCCTCCCTCCCACCCTGGAGTGCAGGGAACATGGGGAAGGAAGGGAAGAGCTTTATTTTGTAAAAAAATGTGGTGAGCGGCAGCGTCTGGTGTCTGTGGTTTTTGGTGGGACTGGGGGCTGGCTGGTGCTGCCTCCCTGGGACTGGTCCCTTAGGACTGCACCTGCTGCCCGTTCTATCTGAGGCCTGATGGGAGCCCTTGTAACTCCTAGGTAGAAAATCCGAGGAAAATCAATAGGCTTGTTCATTGGACCCTACACCCTATTCTTTTTTGTTGTTGGATTTTGGAAACACAGTTTCATTGTGGCAATAGCTGGCCTGGAATTCCCAGTGTTCCATTCAGGCGGCAAACTGGAGGCAATCCTCCTGCTTCAGCCTCCTGGATGCTGGAATTACAAGCTAGCAGTACAGTTTTCAGCTCCACACCCACTTTAGATCTAACAGAGTGGGGGCCATCGAATCCAGAGAACTTGCCCCTCCCCAGCAATCCTTGAGGGACCCAAGCTGCAGCGTCTCTGTATTAAGCTGTGCCTTCCACCGTCTCCCAGGGAAACCGTCCAGGAAAGGCTCTCCTCCCACGGAGTCACAGCCCATCTCTGAGCCCACACCATTAAGTCTATGTCTGGGTTAGAGCCAGAACACCATGAAGTCATTCTAGACTGCTGCATCTCAAGTGTGTTTTCAGCAACAGATCTCACTTGTTCTGAGAAGCTGAGCCATCCTGGATCTACTCTTGGGGAGCTGGGGAGCTGGCCTTCCCTTCCCTGCCTCGGGGCCTCAGAAAGTACCTCTTGCTCTCCCCACTCTGCCATAGAGCAGTTCCAGGAAGCAGTTTGGGAAACTGGTGCTGTAGTCTATTTCCCATCACACTCTAACCAGGAAATTTGGTGCCGCAGAGAGGGTATCATTTGCTAAGTCATATAGCTCGAGATGGCAGGCGCTGTCAGCCACTGGTGACAAGGGCACTGGGCCATCTCATGCTCTCCAGTGGGTAGGGAGATGGGGTGGGGGGAGACATGGAATCATTAGCCATCTTCAGATAGGCTGCTTGGAGCCCTTCAAGGGGGCAGGAGAGGAACCCTGTCAACCTTGGAGACTCATTTGCGTAAGGCATGGGAGAAGTGTGGGATTCTGGAAGCCTGTGACTGAGGTCTAGTGTGGGCAGAGGAAGCTGGGGTCAGTGAGTTGGAGCTGAAATCTCAGTGTATTTGGAAAACTGGAGGATTGACTAACCCGAGCAACCACTAGTGAGTGGCAATACTAATGAGCTGTTAACGATGATTAACCCAGGAAAGCATTAATAACATGCATTGAGGAACGGGTGACTAATGATTCAGGGCTCCTTACCATGGTTACCAGGAGAGGTCATGCCCAGATGCAGTTGGGTGCCTTTGGGCTGCTAGAGGAGCAGATAACCCAAGCAAATGGCCTGTGGCCTGCCCTCAGACGGAGCTCTAAGAGCCAATCACCCTGGTCCTGAGTGCCCCTCCCCTAGAGCCAGCGCCCTCCAGGAGCCAGGCTGGTGTCTTGGCACCATCACTAACCTGCCTTGCTTTGTTGTGTTTTTCTCACCCTGCCTGATCTGCATGGTGCGTGCCGTCTGTCTGCTAACCAGGGACCCTACCTTGCTTCCGGGGACCAGCCGCTGGACCGGGCCACTGGGGAGCACGCCAGTGTGCACGAGTACCCCGGGGAGCTGGGCCAGCCCCCGGGGCTTTACCCCAGCAACCACCCACCTGGCCGGGCAGGCACCCTGCGGGCACTGTCCCGCCAAGACACGTTTGATGCTGACACTCCGGGCAGCCGAAACTCTGCTTACACGGAGCCGGGAGACTCGTGTGTGGACATGGAGACAGACCCCTCAGAGGGCCCAGGGCCTGGAGACCCTGCAGGGGGAGGCACACCACCAGCCCGGCAGGGTTCCTGGGAAGACGAGGAAGACTATGAGGAGGAGATGACCGACAACCGGAACAGGGGCCGGAATAAGGGCCGCTATTGTGCTGAGGGTGGTGGGCCGGTTCTGGGGCGCAATAAGAATGAGCTGGAGGGCTGGGGACAAGGCGTCTACATCCGTTGAGAGACAGGGGCAGCATTGGGAGAGGAGAGGCTCTGAGCCCGGGGAGGGGAAAGAAGAGATGTGTCTTGCCTCCAGGAGGCGCTGTATCCCTCATTTTCAGATGCCTTTGCTCAAAGACGGGTTTCTTCGGTGGTTACCATCCCAACTCCTGGGAGGCCCTAAACCCCCAGCTGTAGGTTCTTCCCTAACTGCTGTGGGTGGATGGGGGAATACCTACTTTCTGAAGTGCCCCCGTTCCCCATCTTAGGGGGCTCTCTCCCTCCCAGAGAAAAGGTGCACTTCCTTAACTCTTTCTGCTGTAAGTGAAGGTCCTAACTGGGGTGGGGGTGGGACTTCCTTTGCTAACATAGAGGTATTTGGGAAAGGTTGGGTGCTTTTCCTGGATAGGCCGCTGAATATTCCCCAAATCCCAGACACAGGGTCCTTCACCATGTCCATTCCATAACCTGGTTTACTAGCAGCATTCTCTGGCCGGTGAAAGCCACAGCTTGGAAACCCATGTGGAGCTTGCCCTGGGAGCAGGGCTGGGTAGAAACTGACAGGAATCAGTTGTGCACTCTCCAGGGTCATGGCAAGAGCCCAGGACCCAGAACTTTGAGAAGTGTGCAAATCAAGATGCTGCCCCTTCCCCATACCCCAGCCCCTGCCTCCCCCAGGAATGAGCTCTGTCTACAGCATCCCCTGCCTGCTGCCATCGGAAGAGAGGGGCCCTCTGCATCTGAGCCCCACATCTCTGTGCCACCTGGGTGTGGAGACCATGAATATTTGGTCCACCTCATTCTAAACCAAAACCAAAAAACAAAACAAACAAACAAACAAACAAAAAAAAAAAAAAAAAACTGCTCCTTCACCTTCACCCTGAGGCCCCAGGGGAGAGGTTCTGTGGGTTGGTGCCCAAGAGGTGACATCATCCAGGGGCTGCCTGAGAACCTTGGGTTTCCCCTAGGGGTCTTGGTTGCTGCTGCTTCTCTGTTTTTGCCTCTTGTGGTTCTGTTCTTTCCCAGTGTCCATTTTCCCCCCAGAGGCCTTGGGAAACTATTAGCCTCAACAGCCCTGTAGTCCAACAGCCCTGCCCCTCCCCAGCATCACAGCTGGTCCAGAGAGAGCCGATTGTGCCAACGAGGACTGGGCCCTGCCCAGCTGCCCACCTCAGGGATGGGCACCTCACGCCTGTCTCGCCACCTGTGCCAATGTCCCACCCCTCACCTGGGGGCGGGCTGCAGCTCCCACTTACAGGTTAGAAGATAGCACTGCCCAGCCTTTCGCTCCCTGTCTTGTCCTGTGCCCATCTGTCTGTCTATTTGTCTGTACTCCTCTAGGAGAGATATTTTGCCACATATAAAACCGCAGTCCTGCCCTTTGCGGCCACCTCCTGAGCCTGTTTCTTTGTTGCCACCACACACACACAGCCTAGCAGCCCACTGCCTCTCAGTAGTGGGAGCTGAGGACCTATGGGGGAGCAAAGGGGGAGTCCAGGAAAAAGCTGTGTCCTGGCTGTTAGGACAAAGGAGAGCTAGTACTTTTCTTTAGCGGGTTCTGAATTGTCTACAGGTATTCCTCATGGAGCCATAAGCTCACATCTTATCTGTTTAGGACCTGCAGAGGTGGGTGGGGGTGATGCTAATCCTGGTGTTGCTCACTGGGTGGGCTCCAGACCTACTGGTTCACATCTTAATACATGAGCTTTTTAATTTTATTATTTCCTTTCTGCTTTGACCTCCCAGTACTCTAGTAGCCCACCTCATGAGGGAGGGGTGATTTCCGTGGCTCTGGGATTCTCCCCCCACCCCCACCCCCCGCCAAGCTTGAACTCACAGAGGTTTGTCTGCCTCACCTCCTGAGTGCTGAGTTTAAAGACATGTCACCATGCCCCCACCAGCCACTTTTTGCTTTTGTATTCCCCTCTCCTAAGACAGGTACTCACGCTGTAGACAAGGCTCACTTGGAGTTTACCATGCATCCCAGCTGGCCTGGAGTTGCTTCAGCTTCCATAGATGCTGCTAGGTGTGTGTGAGCCACCATGGCTTGATATTTTATTTTGAGACAGAGCTTGCTATGGAACCCCAACTGACCTGGAATTCATGTAGTTGAGGTGGGACTGAAACTCATAGCAATTCTCCTGCTGCAGCCTTCTGAGTGCTGGGATCACAGGGTTACACATGTGCCACCATGTGGGTCCTGAGAATCAGCTTCGGGGCTGAGGAAGTTACCCACTTCTATGAAGAGGTGATAGATACCAGCCAGCCTCCTGAGATGTGTGAGGAAGACACCGTAAGTAGGTGGAGGTCCACCATCACCAGCTGACAGATGTGGGCTGTCACCCATATCCCACCTCACGCAGCACCTGCAAGCTTCCCCAGCCTGCTGGGTCTTGTTTCTCGGGGGACAACTCTAGAGGACTTGAATGTGTGGATCCTCCACCTGAGTGCTGCCCAAAGTGCATGTTTGTGTGACAATGACAGTAGATTCCTGATGCCCCCAGATGAGGAGCTTGCAGATCATGGATGGGGAACTGGGTCAGCCAATGCCAGAGTCCCTTGGGGAATTGATAGCAGAGCTGGTGAGAACCTTGCTCTGCCCCCCACCCCAGCCTTCTCACTACCTTTCAATCGAAGGGAATCAGTTGCTCACTTCTGTGTTTAGCTATAGAACCAGCATTTATTAAAGATCTCCTATATGGTAGGCTCAAACAGGCCACCACAGATAGCACTCGGAGTTTCTTGCTGTGGGGAGCATGTAGTACTGGGGGTACAGAGAAGGTGTGGAGTCTGGGAACATGGTTAGGTTAATCTAGACAGAGGAGTGGGAGGAAATTCCTAATGCAGAGGAAGAGGGAACAAGCATGACACACTATTGGCATCTGACTAAGTGAGCTTGGCAGGAGCAGGTCACAGTAGGCCTATGCTAAGGAGTCTGAGTTTTGTTCTGAAACTGATGCAGGAATTGAAGGATGTAAGTGGCAATCGCAGGACAGGGGTGCAGTGTAGAGTCTGCAGCCTCCCCTGCAGACAGCGCTGATACTCCAGGTTGAAAAGAGGCGAGCCCAGGCCACAGTGGAAGGCAGGCACTGACCGCCAGAGGAACCCTCCAGGATTTGAAGCTCTCAGAAGGGAGTAAGTTGGAGGTGGCATGCGAGAAAATTGGGAGTCACCAGGGGTGACTTCAGCCCCCACAGATATTGAATTTTGTGGTGCCTGTGACCCCCAAGTTCAACTAATTCTGCTCCACGGAGCACAGACTTTAGAAAGGTGGGGGTTGGGGGGTTGAGGAGGAAGCAGGTGTCTGAACATGCTCTGCCTCCTGTACTCTTTCTGCCTACAGTTGCATTTGCTCAGAACTTAGAGGTGGGCATTTCTAGCTGGCGTAGATAATAGAGATGAGGAGAAAGCCTGGTTTCTAGGTAACCGCAGCCCTCTACCCACTCGGGCTGCTCAGTCAGCAAGCTGGTGGCTGTTAACACTCGAGGATTTTAACAGCTATGACGTCAACTGGCCTTGCTACCACCATCACTTCCAGGCCTCAGAAAGCAGAGGCAGGGACTCTCCTAACCAGTACCTTTCCTAGTCATTGCTTCTCTGACTAGCTGCTTCCATCTCTGGTGGGCACCGCCCCAGTGAGCTGCAGTGGGATAAGCCACACACCCCAGATTTGCCCCAAGCTTCACTTTCCGGAAACTAATTGGTTTGAACTGAGACCACTTTGCCTAGGATGGGACCATGGTTCCAGGCTAATATCCTGCCTTATTTTAGCCCAAGTGATGGATTTCTTGGTGAAGTCTGTCTAGGTTTCCTTCTAAATCAAACCTCAAAGAACTGTGTCTGCAATGCTCTGGCAGCCAGAAGAAGAGGTTGGAGTCCCTAACCTACATAGATGCTAGGAACCAAATTCTATTCCTCTGGAAGAACAGCAGGCGGTGTTTAACCCCTCACTGAGCCATCTCTCTAGCCTGCAAGGCATTTCTTACCTGTTTACTTAATATGCTTGCAGAGTGTCACTTTCAATTCTGCAACTGGGTGACAAAGCAAGATGCCTTTCTCTCCCTAGGAACTAGATGGCAACAATGCTTAGAACACTGGTGATTCTCCGGATACTCTCTATAGCCCTACCAAGTCTCACAGCCTCAACACCAGCTCCTTTCCTAGGGGTTTAATGGAATCAGACTGGATGGACTGTGTGGATTGTGGTGGTCAATTTTGTATTGGTCTAACTCTCTGTTCATCAAGTAAAGTGGGGTGAACATCTGTTATATGCATCTGGGTGAGCCCATGGAGGTCAGTGGCCAACTTCCAGGACTTACTTCTATTTTTCTTTGCTCACTACAAACATCCAGGCTTTCTTTAGGCCTCTTACACTGGTACCCATGTTCCTTTTTTGTTTGTTTGTTTTAGTTTTTTTTTTTTTTTTTTTTTTTTTTTTTTTTTTTTTTTTTTTCGAGACAGGGTTTTCCCATGTAACAGTTCTGGCTGTCCTGGAGCTTGCTTTGTAGCCCAGGCTGGCCTTGAACTCAGAGATCTGCCTGCCTCTACCTACCAAGTGCTGGAATTAAAGGCTAGAATCACCACCACTCAGCTCGTTACTTTTTAAACACCCTAACTGCCATTCCCCAGGCTGTAGCTTAACTCATTCTAATACAACCCAGTAACTTCTCTCCCTGAATCATATGCCAGGCATTGGACAAGGCCCCGGAAGTGGGGAAACGTGCCAGTGAACAGGATTCAAGCTCCACACTGTAGGAAACAGACTTCCAATCTACAGATCCCAAAGAGAGAGAGGTCTGGGTAGCAGCAGAGCCAAGCCAGACCTTGGGGAACAGGAGGTGATGGTAGCAATGCAGTTAAAGGCTTCCTGGGATTCTCCTTTCAAAGCATTCAAGGTAGAGGAGGCACCAAAGCACAGACATGTCTGAGAAGATCTGGAAAAGAGCTGGGCCTATCTGAGTGAGGACCAGCATATGCAGAACCTGGTGGGGCAGGCTGCAAAGTCAGGCAGGGGCTCTTTATGGGGGCCAGTGAAGGCCACTTGAGGCTGCTCTAAACCCAGTGGGAAGCAGAGAGTCATCGAAAGCTTATGGAATGGGGGGCCAGTGACCATGACAAGTCCTTAAGAAAGGTGGGTAGGGCATGAGGAGGAAGAGGAGACCCCAATCACAGTAGGGGAGGTAGAAGCAGAACAGGAATAAAGGGTCACTCACTCCCTTAGGAGAGGGAGCCCAGGCATAAGGGGCTGTAGGAGGCTGCTCCCAGTGTGTGTGTGTGTGTGTGTGTGTGTGTGTGTGTGTGTGTGTGTGTGTGTGATATGACTGGAGCTGCTTTCGTGGAGTCTACCTTGACTTACAGTGTGGGAGAAGACTATCAAAGGCTTCCAGGTTTCTCAGGGCCAGACTGTGGTGTCTGGGACTCTCAATTTCTCAGCCCAAGCTCAACTGGCCTTTCCCATTTCTCTTTCCGGTTTCTGGGTTTCCCCCAGGTTTTGAAGTTCACAAACACATTTTTTTTTCTCCCTCCTTCTGCTGGACCTGCTGCATCCTTTGTGACACATGTCACCCTCTGTTGGGTTTGCCTGTTGCTGGAGCCTATGGGCCAAGCACTCAGAAGGTTGAGGCAGGAGGATTGCTGGAATCCAGGAGTTTGAAGCCAGCCCAGATGACACATCACATATTGAGGTCTTCTGTAAAACAAACAGAAAAAGATCAACAAATAAAAAGACCGTTTCTCCTCTGCTGAGAGTGATGGAGTGATGGTAGGTGGAACTGACTAGGGTACCCACAAGAGGAAAGGAGACCCCTTTCTTTTCTAGGGGAGCCACTTTAACTGGACCCAGAAAACTCCCTACTAATGAATCAGCTGCAAACAGGCTGATAGCTGGGATGTGATCTGTGAGCCTGCCTGCAGTTATTAAGAATATATTTTAGTTTTTGTTTTCTGTGTAGCCTTGGCTATTCTAGAACTCGATCTGTAGATCAGGCTGGTCTCAAACTTAGAGCTCCACCTGCTTCTGCCTCCTGAGTGCTGGGATTAAAAGCATGCACTGTCATACCTGGTCATAGTGATTTTAAAATTTTTATTTATATTATTTTTAATTATATATAAGCATGTGTGTATATATCTGCATGTGGGTATGTGCACATGAGTGCGGGTGTTAGCAGAGGCCAGAAGCACCAAATCCCCTGACCTGGAGTCAACAGAGAGTTGTGACTGTCTGATGTGAATGCTGGGGACAGAATTTGGGTCCTCTAAAAGAGCAGCAATGCACTTAACCACAAAGCCACCTCTTCAGCATTATTGTTGTGATTTTAAGCATGCCCAGCTGAAGATGGAGGTTTCTGTCCCGCCTGGTCCCACGCCATTTAGTCCCAAATATACACACAGAGGCTTATATTAATTATACTCATGGCAATACATAGTTTAATAGAAATGGGTTAATAATTAAGAGAAAGCTAGCCAATAAGAAGCCTGAGACATAGGTCAAACAGTGTGTTTATTTAGGAATAAATGGCTGTTGGACCAGGCAGGATAGAAACTACTTCAACAACATCCTGCCTGTGACCCTTTGGCTGCGTACAATTCATATAGCTAAGGATAACTATGAACACCACCTAACCCAAAATGGGAAAACTTAATCATATGTAATTAGGGGCTAGAGAGATGGTTCAGCAACTAAAAGCATTTGCTATTCTTCCAGAGGACCTGAGTTGGGATCCCAGTATCCTGATTGGGATCTGAGAACCTCTTCTGGCTTCTAAGGATACACATAACACATGTACTCATATATGTGGTGCTTGCACACACACACACACACACACACCTAAATAAAAATTAATATTAAGGAACCAGGATTAGTGGCACACACATTAAACACTGTGTTGAAAAACAAACAAAAACAAAATCTTTTAAAATATTACGAGATTGGATTGGCAAAAACATTCTGAGGGGTTTTTGTTGTTTGTTTTGTAACTCAGTTGCAGGGCTCTCCAGTGTGGGGACTTTGTAGATGACAAGGCTGTGTTGCAATGTCAGAAAGTTGGACCACCCTTGGAGAGTGTTGCCCCAGTGGTGGCTATAGTGAGAGGAAGAGCAGGCGTTTGCTTTGCACATTGCCGATTCTACTTGCAGCTCTGGAGCAGATGGTCCAAACTCCTCAGTTTCCCCAGGGTGAAGAGGACTTTGGGATTTTCTTTGCACTTTCAGGGCCCTGGTCAGGTACCTGGTCTTCACGGTGACATCCCTTAGACCCTTAGCACTGGTAAGGTACCAGCATTCCGTGGTATTCCCAGGATGAAGTTGGGGTTTCCCCAGCTGATAGGAGCACCAGGTTCCACAGGCAGGGCTTTGAGCACTTGAGACCAGATCTGGCTCTGAAGGCGGAGCCCCCAGATCCACCGGCCTACCAGTTCTGGGAGTGATATGGGGCACATGATAGCCAAACTGATGCGAATCTTTGGGAGCCAGGGTAAAGGGTGCACCGGACAGCCCAATGATCTCTTTGATTCCGCTGTCTTCTGGGGCTGTTGGGATTGGGGGTCGTTGGAGAAGACCTGGAAAGACCGACTGGGAACCTTTGGCTTCTAGAGCCCGTTGTGTGAACTCCCATATGCCCCAGGGACTCCCCTCCTCTCCCCTTCGCACCTCTGCTTCAATGTGCTCAGGTGTGGGAAACCCTCCTGCCCCTACCCCACCACCCAGCTGGGGTAAGCACAATGATGATTTAGAGGCCAGTATGCTTCGGATCCTCAGGCACTCCCTTTTTAGAAATGTGGAGGGAGATGAAGATGGGGTCAGCTATCTCTTCCACATTCCTGGAAGAGGTGCTGGCATCCGGTCCGATGGCAAGTGAAGTGGTACAGTCCCCAGCCAGCGAGGGATGCGTTTCCCAGTTCACTCTAGGGATTGGGTGCGGGGGGGGGCGGGGGGGGGACGCGGACAGGACGATGGACCAACACAACACAGAAAACTGGGATACCGAGCTCTACATCAGTGTGGTTGGGTTCTGAGATGGCCAGGACAGGGGTGGGGTCGGAGGAGGAGAGGGCACCCAGTCAGGAGTGGAGGGTGAGGAAGAGGCCAGGGCATGATGACTACTGGGGACACCCAAGCCTATGGTTTTTGGGGTTGGCTCTGTCCTTCCCTTTCCCCTGGATGCCTGCAGAGCAGAGTCATCATTGTGGAACTGAACAATGCTCTACCAGTTGTAACTACGTGGGAGCATTGAGGGTTGGGCCTCACACCACTCATTTGGACCAACCACCAGAGCCCTTCCCTGCGGTTCGCGGGCAGGGGCAGACGTGAGGAGTGATGGGAGGACGCTGGTGACCTTCCTGGTTTAGTGGTTTGGACTTGAATCCTGCAAGCTGTGGGCGACCGCAGTCTCACAGCCTCCCACAACCAGTCCCGGCTGCATTTCAGGTTTGGAATACCAGGTGGTTTCTCGTCTAGATGCTCTGGGCTCCCCCTGGCGGCAGGGCCCTTCTCACCCTTGCAAAGCTCTGCCGCTCAAACAGCCACCTGTGATTTCCAGGCCTTCTCTCAGGGTGGAGTCTGTCCTGATTTGGAGACTCCAAAGTACCTATTTATTTAGGGCAAGTGCTTCTCTGAGGGGAAAAAAAATGTAAAGTATTAATTAGTTAATATTAGAAAAGAAAGGTCTGGTGGTGTAGCTCAGTGGTAGATTGCTTGCCTAGAATTCTTGAGACACTAGATTCCTGATACTGTTAGATGATAAAAGAAAAATTCAAACAGTATGAAGTCCTTACTCCCAATCTTCCTCCTTATAACTATTTGGTAAATTTTCAGAAAATATGAGTAAATGGGGCATATTGGTCCTTGCCTATAATCACAGCACTTTGGAGGTTAAGACAGGAACATCTCATATTTGAGGTCATACAATGAGACATGACCATTAACAACAACAAGAACAGAGAGAGAGAGAGAGAGAGAGAGAGAGAGAGAGAGAGAGAGAGAGAGAGAGAGAACCCCCCAAGAGAAAAAAACCAAAATGAAAACAAACAAAAAAGTTGTTTTGAACCAGGAAAGTCTCTGATGGTCCTCACTTAGACCTGCCTGGTTTCTCACAGCTCCCACAATTCCAGTGTGGTCCATAGACCAGAAGCAGCGCCCCCATGTGGGATTTTAGCTCATTGCAAGCCTCTAGGCATCTGAGGTTGTTCTAAGGACACACACACACACACACACACACACACACACACACCGTTCTCTCTGGGGTCCCAGCCTAGGCCACACTTGGATTAACTCATACCTTTCTTTCCCCACACCAATCACAGGCCATTGGCCTTAGCGATTGCTTGGTCGCCCAGGGCTGAGTTGTTCTGAACTGAACTCAGCTGCTGGGGGGGGGGGATAGAGGGGTGATGGTCAGAGCCTTCTCTTGTTATGGGGCCAGGAGGCTCTGTGATCCACTTGGGACACATACTACTCCAATGCTGAGGTGAGGAGGGAACCAGGCCTGGGAGGTCTGGGAAGTGGCTGTGTATTAGCCCACCAGTCACTTATCACACTCTCTGAGCCTAGCTCCTGTTACCTGGGATGTGACTGGAATAATGGTCACTCAAGGAAATAATAACAATGTGTCAAATATTTAACATTGTTTAGCATCTGTGAAGATTTCTGAATCTTACAGAACAAAAAATTAAATATATAAATACAAATATAAAAAAGAAAGATTTTTGATCCTAAGATGAGTGTGGTGGTCCATGCCTGTAATCCCAACACTTGGGGACAGAAAGAGGAAGATCATAAGTCTCAGAACAGCCTTGGGTTGCATACCAAGATTTTTGTCTCCAAAGAATAAAATATAAGGTGATTAAAAATGGGTCCATCCAGCTGGGTGTTGGTGTGGCACATGTCTTTAGTCCCAGCACTCAGGAGGCAGAGTCAGGTAGATCTCTGTGAATTCAAGGCCAGCCTGATCTACAGAGCTAGTTCCGGGACAGGCTTCAAAGCAATACAGAGAACTCTGGGGGGAAAAAAAGAAAAGAAAAAGGGTCTATCCTGATGCAAATGTTAGGCCACACAGTTCCTTTCCTGTGGGGCTGGCACTTAAACAGGGCAGAGACCTAACCATTGGTAGGAAGGATGTTCACCAAAGACAAAGCTTGTGTCCCATATCTCTCTCTCTCTCCTGTTGGGTAGTTTGTCAACCTTGTGATCAATAGTACAGACCAGAATCGGCTGCTGACCACCCGGGAGGAGCTGTATAAGATGCTGGCCCATGAGGAAAGCCCCTGAAAGTGGGAAGCCATCCAGCGAGACTGGCTGTGTGTTCTCGGTCTGGTCACATGCTAGTGCATTATAGATGAAGGGTCTGATCAGGGTCTGGAGCACAACCGAGCACAGAAGCTAGAGCTGCTGGTTCAAGGACTGAGCTCACTGCTCACTCACTCCCTGTGAGACCCAGAGCAAGCTGCTTCACTTCTACTAATAAGGAGGATTGTTAGTTTCTACCTTACAATGGGAATGGTGTTTCTTACATGCAATCTGGAAAGCTGAGGCTGATTGACATGAGGTTGAAGCCAGCCTGGACTCCATAAAGAGTTCCAGGCCAGCCTGGACTACAGAGTAAGAGTTTGGTTTAAAAAACAAACAAACAAATAAACAACAGTAACAAAACATTGTTATTGTAACCATCCTGTGTGCAGGAGATAGATGCCCCATGAACTGTAGCATCATTTGATGGGGTTGCTCATGTCGGGGTGGGTCTCCACCTTCGTCCCACAAGGCCATCGACCTCTTTTGCTAAGACAGTTGGGCAGGGATCCCAGGGGACTCTTGAGGCTGTCTGACAGGGCTCTTCTGCCCACAGGTGCTTCAAGATGCCTCAGTCCTGATCATTGCCAACAAGCAGGATGTGAAAGACTCCATGGCCACAGCAGAGATGTCCCAATTCCTCATACTCACTGCCATCAAAGACCACCCGTGATATATCCAGGGCTGCTGTCCTCTCACCAGAGAAGGGTCAGCCCCCACCTCTCTCCTGCCTGGCCCAGCCAATGGGCAGAAGGTTACAGGAACCCCTCTCCTGCCTTTTTCCAGTCAGAATCTGCCCACATTTGGCTCCAGGCCCAGAAAGATGGACACAGGTCCATAGCTAAGATCCTGTGAGCCTGCAGAGCCCCAGTTCTCTGAGGGCTAAAACTCCTCCCAAACTACAGGGATCTTAGGGGCTGAGAAATTTTTTAGAGACAGTGACACGGATAAAGTGGCAGAAAGGCAAGGGTAACTCTGATTTTGTCTTTGGGGGATAGACCTTCGAGGCACAAGTTGATGACTCTCTGAGTTTCTTACTTTCTCCCCCAGTTCTCCAGAGAGTGACTGGCATGGTTTCTTCATTACCTACTTCATGCCAAGTACTGTTCTTGGAACTGGAAAAAACAGTGGTGAACAAACCAGACAAAAATTCCTGCCTCGGGGCTGGCGATCTAGCCTCATATGTGTGAAGCCCTGAACTATTGCACACCTGTAAGCCTACTACTTGGGCACTTGGGCGGTAAAGACAAGAGTTCAAGCTCATCCTCCACTATCTAGTGGGGTCAAGGCTAGACTGGGCTACATGTCAAGGCCCCCGCAGCGAAAAACAAAAAACAAAACAAATCAACAAAGTGATACACAGGAGGTGGAAAAAGCAAAGAAAGATTGGGGATAGCTGAGGGGAAACTGTGTGTGTGTGCACACGTGCGTGTGTACATGCCCATGGTGAGAATTAAGGATTCTAGTGCTTGGATCAGATACCTCAGCGTGTGAAGGGCTGGATTTCTCCAAAAGGGCCTCTCACGAGACCTGGAAAATTCCTTTCATCTTCCTTGTCTAGATACTTTTTTAAAGAAGAGAAGAATTTCAATAAAAGAATCAGAGGGACCACAGATTTCTGGCAATATGTTTGTTACCTTTACCCATTAGGGACTCTGGTCTTCTCCAATCTATAGTCAAATTCAGTGTACTCCCTAGATGTGGTCAAGTTTCTACTTTTGCCCTGGAGATGTTACAACACCCCTCCCTCCACCCCCACCCCACCCCCACTGCATAAGGAGCTTGCCTCTTCCCAAGCCTTTGAGGTCTGTCACTACTCCTAGTGACAGAAGGCTTGCCAATGACTTGCTCAGGGACCCAGGAAGGTGAGTCTCCCATTCCTTCTGGTGGAATGTTTTTCCCCAGGAGCCCCAGCCCCCAGCACAGTGGGTGCTGATGCATTCTGGAACTCAGCTCACTTCCCTTCTACCATTAAGTGATTGAATATAACCTTGGCTACCCTCTCAGTCTGTCCCAGGCAGAGGCTTCCAGTTTTCCAGCCATCATCTTATGGGAAATGCTAATGGTCGGTTGTACCATTCCTCCCTCCCCGCAGGCTGCCAGCTGGGCTTCAGGGGATGCAATCTCAGGCCACCAAAGACTGATGTTCCAGCCCGAGGCCAACCAGAAACCACGTGGTTAGCACAGGTGAGAAACCCCAGCCATTTGCTGGTGGAAACTGGGTGGCTATGGACAAAGAGACTGCCACTGTTGTCACTGAGGGGCTGGATCAAAGACTTCAAGCTGGTACAGACAGGGATACAAATGAAACTGTCCCATTCCATCACTGCAGATGTGAAGAGACATAGGGAACCTTCTGGGTGTGTTGGGGGACCCTCTTCCAGCCCTCATCTTCTATCTACCCGGAAAGCAAGAGATCTTTGACATTGTACGATCGCCATTGTGTAAAGGAGATCCCGATCAAGGAGACAACAGGACCTGGTCAAAAGTTGGGGGGTGGAGTAGGATGGAGAGGCGAAAGAGTGGAAGGACAGAACATTCCAGAACATTCGTTCACACTGTAGGAGTCAATGTCCTCCCATCCCCCTTGCCTTTCTGCTCCTTCGTGGATGCTGACTCTGACAGCTTTTGGGGTCTAAGTTACCACGTGAATCTCCTTCTTTCTCAGTGTCCTTCCGGTGTGAGTTCTACTCCTCTCAAATGTCAAAGGTTTCAGTCTTTGTGTCACGTTTAAAAGCAAAACAAAACATTGCATTAAAATTTTAAAAGTAAAGGTATATAGTGAGTGCCACCGAAAACTTCTCATCTCTTATTTCTGTGTGTTCCTAAAGCTGGCTTTTGTTCCTTGCTGAAAGGTGTGTGTGTGTGTGTGTGTGTGTGTGTGTGTTGGGGGTGGGGAGGAGGGTCACCTTGAAATCGGGGTGGGGAAGCCGGGACTGACTCAACGCTCCATTTGGCTAGGGTTGGCCAGGTTTTGGCATCAGCTAACCAGGACCGGGGCTCTTGGCTCTGAATCTAGTGGCGACAACAGGCTTGTAGTGGTCCACTGAGAAGGAGACCCCAGTGGGAGGAAAAGCCCCAGTATCCTTTAGAGGTGATGCTAAAGAGGGATTGGAGGCCCATGCTGCCCTTCTACATTCAGAGATCTAAAAAGGATAGCATCTCCGCTTTCCAATCAGGCAGGACCTCTAGGGGAACCTGGGCAGAGAAACAGAGGACCCAGTATTTTTAATTTTGTAGCTTCCCTGAGATGTGGTTATGAAGGGAAAGCTCGTGAATTTTAGACATTTCAGTCACGTTTTATATTTTTTTCCATTAGGTTATTCTTGATATAACAAAAATGTAAAAGCATTGGCTCCGTAGAAGTCTATTCCATTGAAATGAATTCTGATAAACCAATCTAGTGTGTCGGGGGTATAGCTCAGTGGTAGAGCATTTGACTGCAGATCAAGAGGTCCCCGGTTCAAATCCGGGTGCCCCCTCACGGCCTCTGGTCGTGCTTACTTTTAGCGAACAAGCCGCCTCCTAGAAAGGGTACTCCCCGAGGTCACCTTATTTTGCTGACTTGTGACTATTGCGGCAGTCCAGTGTACATCCTTGGTCGGAATGTGGCCCGAGCCGAGCCTGTCGGCCAACCGATCCCTCGAGGCAGCCACTCGTGAACCGCAGGACTCTCAGAGCGTCAGGAAATACCTTTTGTTTTTAAACGAGCAATCGGAACGTCAGTTCCTTACATTTCTTGAAAATTCGGACCTAACTCAGCTTTTAGACACGCTTTAGTGCGCCTGCGCCAGAATCGCACTTAGTGGTTATTGGCGCGAAGCTGCCAGCAGAGGGGGTATAGCTCAGTGGTAGAGCATTTGACTGCAGATCAAGAGGTCCCCGGTTCAAATCCGGGTGCCCCCTTTGTGTTTTCTTTTGTTTAGATGGTTTTCTTATGTTCCACGTGTTTTTATGGTAAGATTTCCTTCACCAACTTCCAGAGAGTCGGGAAGCGATAACGGCGGTAAGTATCTGGGAATATTTAGGATAGTGCCTCTCTGAATGTGACCAGCGGCTGCACTTAGGTCCGTGCTAGAAATGAAGATTCCTGTTCTCATCTCTGACACAGTGAAATAGCCTGGGTTGCGTCTAAAAATGTGTTTTCTGAGGAGAGCCCCGGGTACACGCGTTTAGAATCTTGTAAATATCATTTGCTTCTGATACTTTCAAGTTGCTGCTTTTGCCTGAACCCTAATAAAAGGCCTTATAAACATGCAGCCCGGGCACCAAGACTGGCAGAGCACGAAGACACCGGATCTGAGGCTGGAGGTTCTCCACGGCGCCTGCGCGGACGGGCCGAGCCAGGAGAGCCGCAAAACGCCAACCGACCCGGTGGTTCATCACACTTCCACTGGGCGGCGGTAGGAGGCCGCAGCTAGAAAAGCCGATTCGAACCCTCCCCCGCTCCCGCTGCCAAGCAAGAATTCAGTTAGGCATTCGGGATCCAGTGGCTCTTTTGGTGGGCTCACGCTTGTAATCCTTTCAATAAATCAGAAACAGGTAGGGTGGTCGTGAGTTCGAGGTCAGTCTGGTCTAAAATGTGACTCCCTGTGTGGAAAAAACAGTAACAACAAAAACTTGTGTTAGCTTGTCTTAGCCCATAAAGGGTCTGAGGGAAGTAATCTCTGGGCTCTTCTACCGGGAGAAAAGTGGAATTGGGGTCCTGAGAGATGAGAGAGAATCTAGTTTCTTTTCTCGGATCCTTCTTTTGACCGCAGCGTCAGGCCACTCACCTACTCAAGACCACACCCGACTTCTGTCCCCACCCGCACCCTCCTTCTGGGGATTGCCCCCAATAAGCAGCCTGTGCACCCTTCCTTCCCGCACTCTCCTGGTCTCTAGCATGGAGGAAGCCAGGGGCCCCTCCGCCTGCTCCACTCTCTAGGTCCCAGTTCTTCATCTTCACACGAAGTAGGACACAGGCACCTTCGCGCCCTGACCTGGTTCCATGCCGTCTATCAAATCTCCTAAATTGCGGGTATTTTTATTCTCTCCGGGAAGGGGCGGGAAAAAAGTGTCCTATTCTCAGAGCCCGGTAGAGTTGGAGTCCGTGGGCGCCGCTTCCAGGCTCTGGATCTAGCTTTGATTGAGTCTGGCCTTCTTGGGGATGGGGCGTCCGTGCTGCTTTAGAGTAGGAATGTGCCAGATCCCTGCACCTAGGCGTCTGCTGGGCTGGGGGTCGGAGGAGAGCCGGTGCTGGGGATGGGGTGTGAAGCAGTGAAGTGAGGAATGCAATTCGCGCCTCTGCTGGGGCAGAGGCTGGGGGGATCCGCTGCGGGAGATTCCTGGTGCGTGGGTCGCTGTGTGCACTTATGCAGAACACCAGGTAGCCCCAGAAGTCCAAGGACCGGCTCAGGAAGTCACATGCCCTGGGGATGAGTGGCAGGAGCCAATGGCCCAAGTAGGGGCGCTTCCTGGGGTCCTCCACCGCGGCCTTTTTCCTGATCTTCCGCGCCAGCCGCGTTCTCTCGGTGACCAGAGGCGTCTCGGGTCCGGTGGGGCGCGGCGCGGAGCTCCGGGAGGCGGGGACCCCGGCGTCGCGCCCCGCCCTCCAGATCCTCCCGCCCGCGCTCCCCGAGGCCACAAAGCCGCGCTTTGCTTGTCGTGCCCGCTCGGCTCCCGCTCCCCACTCGCCCAGCCCGGGGCAGCTCCCTCTCCAGCCGCTGCCGCGGGGATCCTGAGGAGGTCCGTGCCCACCATGCAGGCTCAGCTCTGGCTGCTGCAGCTGTTGCTGCTCCGCGGGGTCGTGCGCGCGCTTAGTCCCGCAACACCCGCAGGTAGGATGCGCGGGCAGGCAGGGCAGGTGCAGACCCACCAGCGGGACGCGAGATATTGCCCGCGGGAGGCCGGGGACAGGGGACAAGGGACCCTATTTTTCTGTGTGCTCACAGAGGGTTTGCACCCCATGCTTCTGTCGGGGTCCCCAGAAGAGTCCTAGGGACCTCGATCATACCGGGGAGGCGTTTGCCTTTCCATGTTCTTCCCTGATGCCACCCTCAGCTGCTCTAGGCTTGAGTCCCAGTTGGGCTTGAAGACTGCTTGGGAGCTGCAGGATGATGGGGACACCTTAGCCAAGCCTTTCTCTCCGGGCGCCAGGGTGGCGGTCTAACTCACTTCCCCTACCTGTTTCGTACCGGTTGAGAAGCAGGGGCCCCAGGAAAAGGCAGCTTGCTGCTCCCGCTTCTCCCAAAGTTAAGAGTCCCCTCTCCCTCCTGTTCGGTTCTGCTTGGTTCTCTGTTGCCCTGACTGTGCCAGGGGTGGAGGTGGAGGCTGAAGGGGGGGGGGGGGAGGAGCTTCCATTCTGCACACTCCTCTTTCCCCTATTATCAGTTTCTTAAGCCCTTCACTCAGAGATGCTTTCGGAGCTCTGTCTTGAGTCCTCATGCTATCAAGAAAGGCTATTTTCAATGTATCATTTAAGTTCCGCACACAGACTTTCTCTGGGGCTGGGAATAAGGGTGATCTTCAATTCCTTGGAAGGGAGAATTGGGTGCCCCTCATTTGGGGTCAGGGAAGAGGTAGTTGACGGGGTGCTGCTGTTGGCTGTTGTTTCAGCATTGGCCCTAACCGCGTTCTGGACTTTAATGGCCACAGCACATGGTTCAGATGAACCTGAGTTGGGATGAGATGGGTGGGGTGGGGTGCTGGTGATGATGTGGAGGGAGAGGGCAGAATGGTCACTTGTCTAGAGACTGATGTGGAACCATCAGTGTTCAGGGAGGCCCTACAGACGGTGGCTGGACACTTGGCTTCCAGTTCTGCTGTCTCACTTTGCTATGTGACCTTGGGCAAATTACTTGCCTTCCTGGGCCCATTTCTTGATTTGTAAAATGAGGTTACTGTTGAACTCTTTGGCTTTTGGAAGTGGAATTATGAAAGATGCTTTCCCTTCTCATGATATTCTTCCCTTCTCAAACATGCACAGGCAATTGATAATTTGTCTTAAAAGTGCAAATAGGAAGTTACTAGGAGGGCTAATTTCTTCTTGTTAGCCTTAGTGTTTCTGAGCTCAGATATGGCTGGGTTGATGAGGTGTTTGAGCCATGGAGAGGGTTGAGGAGGGTTGAGGAAGGGGCCCAGGGATGAGTGTCACCTGTGTAAACATAGACTTTCTCTGCATTGGGACTAATCTGGGAGATGTGGACTATCTGCAGCAAGTGAGGTTGAGGTTAGACCCAAGGAAGCTATAAAAAGCCATCTCTTTCCAGGTTCAGCTGGGCTTGGTGGTGGTGGGGTTGTAGAGCTGATCAGAGTATATGTGCCAGTGGGGAAGGCTGGGAAGGGTCCCTTCAGGGAGGCTGGCTGCTTGCTCAGTATGGTAGAGCCTCTGTAACCAGTGAATGCAATACAGAGCAGGCCCAACCCCAGCAGAGGCAATGGTGTCCCCATTAGGGCTGGCAGGCCTGGCAGCAACAAGGTCCCCCATCCCCAGAGCCTTGTCCCCACATCCATCCTTAGAATGGGGACAGGAGACACCAATGACCTAAGTAGGAGTCTAGTGACAAGGAGACCAGAAGAAGCCGGCAGGCAGGCAGAAAGAAAAACAGATGACAGACAGGAAGATGACCTCAGAGCCCAGGGAGTGGACCCTGAAGGTCTGGTCCCAGGGGAGCCAGAGATACCCAGGACACACAGAGGGAGAATCTTGCAGGTAGCCATTTCCAAACCCACCAGGGGCCCCTGCGCTTTGAGCCAAGGCTGCCTGTCTCTAGAGAGGGAACAGAACAGAAGTCTCATAACCTGTCCAACAGTAATCTGCTTCCAGCTTCCTCCTTGCCCGACCAGGGCCCTCCCAATATAAACCAGTATACTGCGACTAACCCCAGACCCCTCAATGGCTGCTGACATCACTACTGCTTCCCAGCACCTCCAGGACCCCCTCTTCAGAGACACCAGCAGGGCCAGGCAGCCTCCCCGCCTGATTCCTGGTGCTGCATCTATGGGAGGAAGTTTGGGCTCAGGATCATGCCTCCCTGTCACTGAGAACTCCTCCACCCCCTCACACCACAGCTTGTATGGAAACCTGCTTAATAAATGTCTGTGGGAAAGCTGGGCATGGTGCTCCGCACTGAGAGCAAGGCCCCAGGGAGGAAGAATGATCAGAAGTTCAAGGTCATCCTCAGCTATGTAGGGGGTTTGAGGCCTGCCTGGGCTACATGAAACTCAGTTGAAAACGAAGCCACTGAACAGTGAGTGCACAGGTGCTTCTGACGAATCCCTTTCTGGGGTAACCTTCAGAAATCAGAGCCCCCCCTGTGCCCCCTCCTCCTGCTACCTGGTGTCCTTCCGAGGTGAGGGCCGGGGTTTCTGCAGCATGGGCTTTACAAGTAGGAGGTGGGATTAGTGAGGCCTGGGAGAACCTTGTGGGAAGCAGAGAACAGGACTTTGAGATGTAGCCCAGGCTGGACCTTTAACTTCTGATCTTCCTGCCTCCACCCCACAACGCTGGAATCAAAGACACAATGCCATCCTGGCATGTTTACGTAGCACTGGAGAATCAAACCCAGAGCTTCCTGCATGCTAGGTAAGCATTCTACCAACGGAGCTACATCTCCAGACCTAAGGGAGGTCAGTTTTGCTGGCTGTTTTGCGTACAATTTTGTTGAAGATTCAATCTAGCAGTGGTCGAGCTGTTCTCACCCCATCTTATATTAGAAATGGATGCTTCCAGAGAGCTTGTAAGCTGTGGTGATGTGGTTCAAGGTTGGGCCTCCAGCTTGGTGACAAACCTGTGCTCTTCCTCTGCTGTGATAAGTCAGTGGGGGTCTTCAGCCAGGCTGTGCCTAAGGGAGGGTCTCCTCTGTCCTATGACTTGGTGCTGGCTTCCCCTTCCTTGCTGCCAGCCTCCCTCCTTCACTTACTGGTGACTCTTGAACACTGGTCCTTGCAGTCAGTACCCAGAATTCTAGATGCACAGGCAGGAAAGGGCATGAGGGTCCAGGGGGCCAGCTTGGGTGGTGCTCCTGGCATCTGGGAGAGGGGGAGGGAAGCAATGACATTTAAAAAAATATTTTATTTGCATTGGTGTTTTGCCTGCATATATGTCTGTATAAGAGTGTCAGGTCTTAGAGTTACAGACTATTATTAGTTGCCATATGGGTGCTGGAGAATTGAACCCAGGTCCTCTGGAAGAGCAGTCGATGCTCTCAACCACTGAACCATCTCTCCAGCACCAAAGCAATGGCATCTTGTCACACTTGGGGGAAAGGATTCTTTTTTTTTCAGCAGGTGAAAAGGATTGTTTAGGAGCAGAGTGCTGTTGGCTGAGGAAACTGTGAGCCTCTGGTGGCTGGAGCAGGGCTGGGTCCTAGAGGGCCTCAGCAGATGTGAGGGAAAACAGGGGCTGGCCACAAGTGCCCTCGGAGCAGCAGGAGGGATGCATGAGAGATGGAATCAAGTGGGACTCCTAGCTGGCTTGTCCTAGCTAGAGTTGTGGACAACTGGCTGTAGGGCACAGAGTGGGTGCTGAAATGAATGTCCAGAGAGAATCTCAGTGGCCTGAACAAGATGGCGGCAGTATGCAGGGCTGTGTCAGGGTCAGGGAATGGGAGCATGACCTTTGTACTCCCCACACTAGGTCAGGTCAGGCCAGTGGTATCCAGGGTACCCTCCAGGAATCCAGACCTGGGGCAGCCCCTGTACCTTAAGAGACAGCCTGAGAGTTTCTAGTCATTTCTTTTGTAGCCCAGGCTGGCTTTAATAAAAGGCTCTCCCACCTCAGCCTCTGGAATGATGGGATTACAGGGTGTTCCATCCTGTCAGCTTCCTATCGCTTTTATTTATTTATTTTTGAGGTAGGGTCTCATTATGCAGTCCTGGCTCACCCAAATATTGCTATGTTGGCCAGGCTGGCCTTGAACCCACAGAGATCTGCCCACCTCTGCCTCCTAAATGTTGGGATTAAGGGCATGTGCTAGCTACTATGCTTGGCCTTATTGCACTGTGTTCGGTGGCTCTGACCAGACTGGAGCCAGCCTGGGTGAGTTCAAATCCTGCCAGTGACTGATTAGGTGGCCTTGCAGTGGGGGGTGGAGGTGGGGATGGGGGGATGAGGGGGGGTAGGGAGGTGGAGTGTTGTTTAGCATCTTCAGGCCTTGTTTCCTGGGGTTGATTGACATGAATGTGTGTGTGTGTGTGTGTGTGTGTGTGTGTGTGTGTGTGTGTGTGTGTGTGCACATGCTTGAACTACTGCAGCTAAGATGGTGGCCTCTCTGACAGCACTGCTGTTATGCCATCCCATTAGATGATGCAGTGCTTAGAGCTGAGAGACTGAATTCAGCCTCTGATCTGGAAGTAAATGATGGAATGGTTACTGACAGGAAGCAACAGGGGCAAGGGTATCCTAGGGTATCCTAGACATGCATGCCACCTATGTGAACCATTAGGCTTCAAGGCTGTGTGACCAGCCACCTACACTGGCTCCTACTGTAGGCTAAGAGGTGATATTCTATCCCATCCAACTGAGAGGGGTAAGAAATACTGACATGATGAAGCTGAAGAGATGCTACTTCTGGGGACTCCCAGCTCTTTGTAGCATCCTCTGCCTTACTCCATCATCCTGCACAGAACTTGTGCCATACCCCTGCCCTTGGCTGGTTGGGACCTCACCTCTGTTTTTACTTAGTACTGAAGACAACCTATTATTGGCATGGTTGTCTCACAGGGAAGCTGAAGGTTACAGAGTTAAACTGCCAGGTCCCAGCTTGAGGATGATGGGCTGGAAGGGACCATCTTGTGGGCCTCCTATCTCCCCATTTGACATCCCTCTCCATAGTCAGTCCAGGGTTGGTACTTCCTGCCAGTCCACACTTCAGCCCTTCCACTTGGTCTGCATGTGGCCTTTCCACTTCTGGCTTCTGCCCTCCCCTTGGGGCTCCTTGCAGGAGGACTTTGGGAGAAGGCCACCCAACTCAGCATGAACAGCCTGCCACGAACGGCGGTGGCCTCGCTGGTGAGGTCAGGCTGCTTGAGTAGGGCCGATGCTGGGCTTTCAGCTCTTTGGTAGATATCTTGTGGAAAAGGTCAGAACTGCCCCTCTGCCCACGTTCTCCAGGAGCATCTGGTTATGATTAGGGGCAGAGACGTGAGAGGGGCCCGGCAAGAGTCCAGCAGGCACCAGCAGCCAAGAATGACTTAATTGGATAAAATGTCTAACGACAAATGAGAACTCCACAGTAGCACCCTGGCCAGTCCCCAGGCTTGGTCCAGCCAAGCCTTGTTTCAACCCCTGTCTTTGCTGCTACCCCAGAGCTATCCCCTAGTGGAGTGTCCTCAATTATGCAATGATTGAGCACTTACTGTATGCCAGGCGCTCTGAGGAGAGTGGAGAGAGGCCTGAGGAGCACAGGTCTTCCAGGGAGAGGACACACAGTGACCTCAGAGAGGGGATCTAGGACAGGAGCTTTGGTGAGCAAGGTGGGTGGAGTCAGAGGTGGAGAGGAGAGAGATATCTCTTATTGAGGACCCCAAACTGATGGAGGCCACAGGTGGGGTGATCTGTGTCCTTTATATATCCAGGTCAGGTGTGACAATTAGAATGACGACATAGGGCCCAGCTGTGGGAACCTAACTTTCTGAAATGGAAAGGGATGCTCTCAATATCATTTTGAATCACTTTAGCAGCCCCAAGACAGCTGGAGTCTTAGAACAACTGCATCTGGGTGGCCACTTGCCAATCCTGTGCTCATGACAGACATTACTAATCGATCATGACAACCTCTGCTGTGAAATACAAATGAAGTCTTGGGATTCCTATCGAGGGTGCTTCTGGCTGTCACTAATTAATGGGAGATGGTATTTGAGATGAAACCTCTTTGCCATCCCAGCTGGTTTCTCGTCCCCTGGTTATACAGGAAAGTGATTTGCCTGAGGTTGAAGCTTGAAAGTAGTAATGGAGCTAAAACTATTGTGAGTATTCAGGCATCTGTTCTGGCCTGTCCTTGGGGTTCTGACAGGATATATCCTCAGCTGCAGCCACTAAGAGCACCCCCTGTGCACATTCACTACATTCCCTTTCAAAAGCGCCCTGGCCACCTCCCTCTATCCTCTTTCTTTTCTCTCCCTCTTTCTGCCTCTCCCTCCCTTCCTCCTTCCCTCCCTTTCTCTTCTCTTCTGCCTCTCCTGTCCCTCCTGTCCCTAGAGGCCAGTCTCCCCTGCCACTTCCTCTTTTCCCATTCACTTTCCCCCAATAAACAAACCCCTCCACCCAAGCTTTGTCCCAGGTGCCCCTCCTTAGGACAAGGGAGCCAGGTAAGATAACACACACTTTTGGTCCTAGCAACCTACAGGCAGATACAGGCAGATCTCTGTGATTTAAGGCCAGCCTCATTTACATAGCCAATTCCAGGTCAGCCAGGGCTAAGAATTAAGGTCCTGTTTCAAAACAAACAAACCAAATCAAGTGGACAAGGGAAAAGCATCTGTTTCCAGGGAGTTTCTGGTTATGTCTTTTCAGCAATCACAGCCAGTGGAGGAGGGAGGAGGGGAGTGAGGTGTGGCAGGGTCCAGTGGGTAGAGAGAAAAGATGCTATTGAATGGCTTACAAAACTATGATCCAGGCCAACAAGCCACCAGACTTAAAAATAGGTCAAGGACTTAAACATGCTCCTAAAGAAAGCATACAGTCAATAACACACAAAGTGTTGCCCATCCTCACTAATCATTCAAGAATAGGTATCACAAGTACGTATCACTTCCTGTCCATTGATTAGAATGGTTACTACCAAGATCGTGGGGAATAACAAGACTTGACAATGCTGTGAAGACATAGGAAATCTCAGGCATTACTGAGAAGAGAACCTGGACTCTGAGTCTGGAGAGATGGCTCAGTGGTTGAGAGCACTGGCTGCTCGTCCAGAGGACCTGGGTCTGTTTTTCAGCATCCACATAGCAGCTCAAAACTGTCTATAACTACAGTTCCAGGAGATCTAACGCCCTCTATTGGCCTCCATGGGCACTATATGCAAACAAAACACCAATGTACATAAAATAAAATGAAATAAAAATAATTTTAAAACATACAAACAAATGAACTAGCATAGCCATTTCATTTGGAAAACAGTATGGAAGGAAATGGAATTTACTATAGGAACCAACAATTCCATTTCTGGGCACACAACCCAAAGAAGTGAAAACAGGTTCCCAAAGAGATGCTGGTGCTCTTTATTCCTCTTAGAATTCATGATTTCCAACTCATGAACACGATCAATGATCAGATAAGCAAAATGTGGTATAGCACAAATATCATTCTGTCTTCAAAAAGAGCATGGCTGCACCTTGAAGATAACTATGTTAAAGTTAAATAAGCTAGTCACAAGAGATGTATGGTTACACTTATAAGAGACATATGGAATATTTAAAAAAAAAACCAACATCAACAACAACAACAACAAAAACCCAAAGAGATAGAATGGTGGTGTACACCTTTAATCCCAGCCCTGGGGAGGCAGAGGCAGGTGGATCTCTATGAGTTCATGGCTAGCTTGGTCTACAGAGAGAGTTCCAGGACAGCCAGGGCTATACAGAGAAACCCTGCCTTGAGAAAAAGAAAAAGAAAGGAAGGAAGGAAGGAAGGAAGAAAGAAAGAAAGGAAGGAAGGAAGGAAGGAAGGAAGAAAGAAAGAAAGAAAGAAAGAAAGAAAGAAAGAAAGAAGGACATAGTTGGGCATGTAGGTCAGTGGTAGAGCCTGGCAGGTGTGAAGCTCTGAGTTCAGTCCCCAGCACCTTTAACCTCTGAGCCAGATTCTGATTTGCCAGACAAACCATGTCCACTGTGGAGGGTTGAGGGGTTTTAGCATTGCATGCACTTGTTTCTGGGCATGGTATGAGGCACATGGTTCTCAGTCTGTGTTGTGAACCTTCTGTCCTGGTCATCAAGTGTCCTCAGAACCAATGATGGTGTAGTGTTGAGGCTCCTGCAAGACAGGAGGTCTGACCCCTTCTTACATCCTTCCTCAGGGCCACCAACGCTCAGTGTTCTGTCCCTGCTCCTAGGTCATGATGAAGGCCAGGGCTCTGAATGGACTGCCAAGAGGACCAGGCAAGGCTGGAGTCGGAGAGCCCGAGAGAGCCCTGGGCAGGGGTTGAAGCCAGGCAGGACCCAGCTAAGCCAGGACCTGGGTGGGGCCTCGCTGGCCATTGACACACTACCGGACAACAGGACCAGGGTGGTGGTAAGTGGTGAACCAACACTGTGGGAGGGCAGAGCTGGGGTCCAGAGTGTCTGGTATGGAGACTGGACTGGATGGGGAACCCAGAGAAGAAGAGCAAGCTGACTCCAGACTGGGCCATAGGATCAGAGCATCTCAGAGTTTTGTAGGCGGCTGGCCTCCTCCACTAGGTCCCTGAGCAACAGAGAAACCTGCTCCAGGATGCAGGGCAGGCACTGAGCTCTGCCATGACTTAGAGGAGAAGAAGCTAAAGATGACATCGGTACAGCGCAGCTGTGGGGCCCTAAAAGTTAAGGACAGGGCTCACAGCAAGAGGTGGTTGGAGCAGAGGAGGAAGCAGTCAAGGTGTCTTTGAGGCAGAAGTTTCTGGGCCTGGGGGCGGGAAGCACTCTGGGCGGGGATGACTCTGAAAGCTGAAGGGCCTCTGCATCCATGTGTGAGTGTAAGCTGGAGGCGGTCTGCACCTGTGGCTGGGGAATCTTGCCTATTATGTCCACGTGCCCACAGTTTGCCACTGCGGGTGGCTTGTGTCTGGGGTGAGTGTGAGTGAGTTGGGGGGGGGAAGGGAAGGGTGGAGGCTCAGGATGCAGAAAAACTACAGATGAAGAGGATGTGTGTCACAGCGTCTTCATTTTCTGTGTCTGAAGAACTTCCAGAAGCTTCCAGACATCAGGCAGGGCTAGAGGTAGTGAGATGTGGCCGTGCATGCCTGTGAGCCCAGCTGAGTGTAAAGCTGAAGCAAGAGAATGACCTGGAGTTCAGAGCCAGCCTGGGCAGTGTAGGTTCAAATCATCCCAGAAGCAGAGAAGAATAAACACAGAAGACCCAGGCTGCCTGCTATGTCCACAACCTGCTCCTCAGCAGGATGCCTCTAGGCTATTGCTTTCCAATTAGTCTGCTTCTTAGGCTCCCTGAATGAGTGAGCTTTGTTTCTTTGATTGGAGGGGAGGGCCTTAAAGACCCTATGTAGGTGTGGTCTTTGAGTGGCTCCAGGGGAGGAGCCACCACTTGGTGAGCTTTTTGAAAGAGGAGTCAGGGTTTGGAGGGGGAGGAGAGGGTCTGATGGGGATCTAACAAGCTTGAAGGCATTTCACCATTTTCTTCTGATGTCACCATGGAGGGATCCTCTGCAACCATGAGCACAATGGTTCATACCTATAATCCCAGCTCTTGGGAGGCTGGGGCAGGAAGATAGCTAGGAATTGAAGACTAGCCTGGGGTACCTAATGAGACCTCTCTTTCAGCACATACATCCACCCCTGCTTCCCACTCCAAGGAGATTTGTATAACCTAAGGCATGGTAGCCCATGCCTGTAATCCTAGTACTTGGAAGGCAGGATTGCTGAAAGTTTGGGGCCAGCTCAGCCAACACAGCAAGTCCTGTCTCATAAAGGAAAATTGATGTTTGGTGTCACTGTTATTCCTGACCTGGTCATACACTTCTGTTCACCATCATTCCAGCGTTCTGAAATCAGAGCTGACTGTCCAGGCTGGCCTGGGTTTTACTCTGTAGGACAGACAGGCTAGCCTCCAGCCGGAGCCACCACACTGTTGTGGGGTACCCACCACGGAAGTCTATAGAAGGTCTACTAGCCAGCCAGGGGCTATACTAGATGTTTGGGATCCCAGTGTAACACCAAGCCTTTCTCAGAATGAGCTTTTAATCACAAGAAACCATGTTCTGGGTTGACATATTTCAGGTAACAAGAACTGTCAGCCAGAAACAGAACTACAGAAGCAAAAACCAAGATTAATTCATTTAGAGACTTTCCCAGAACTATGGACTTTGATGAATCCGGTCTTTGTTTTCATTTTGACAGGTGGGACTATTTATGGGATGAGTTTTATGGCCTGAATGGTACTTCCATCATGGAGTCAGAAGTGCTAAGGTCTTGAACCCTGTTGTACACACCTGGCCATGTTTTACATTTCTAAGACTTTTTATTATTTTTCTTATGAAAATCCCCTTTCTTGTTCCTATGTCATGGATGAAACATCTTTTCTCTCTAAGGGCATTTCACAAACCGAGTGTTTAGTTTTTTTCATCCTCTGTGTCATTTGTGACACTGTGCTTACCTCAGTCTCTGGAGTAGTATGACACCATGACTGATTCTGTCATTATTTAACATTTTGAGATTTCATTCATCAAAATAGCACTTGTTTGATTTTGTTTGTTTGACACAGTTTCTCTGGGTAACCCTGGCTATCCTGGAGCTAGCTCTGTAGATCGGGCTGTAGATCTGCCTGCCTCTGCCTCCCAAGTGCTGGGGTTAAAGGAGGCTCTAGGGATGGTTTATATAAAATGCCGTATTAAGATGTTCTTTTCAACTGCTGAACTTTTTGGTTCCTTTATCACTGTGCCTGAGGCAAACGGCTCCCTCAACAGGCCATCAACCCAGCCCCAAGCTGACCTCTCAAAGGACAAAGCCCACTCACTTCCCATTCTGTCGTGCTTTCTGGAACATTCAGAACTGAGGAGTAGGGTAGGTATGGAAGGATGGAAGAGTGGACAGTCAGACCATGAGATGTCCTAAGGAAGGGACTCCTGCTGGCTTACCCATTCCTCCATGCTTTCTCAAACTCTGGATTAAATAACTGGCACTTGCTCAGGGACCGGACATGATGGTCAAAAGGGTCATGTCCCAGTCTGCACAAAGAGGATGTCACAGAAACTAGCCACAGAGACAAAGACTCCTGGAAGCAATTGTCTGTGGGTGTTTTGAAGGAACAGTGCATTCTGTGAGCTCCAGTGGACTCAATTACACTAGGGCTTAAAGACAAACACACAGTCGGGCTCTACTCTGGAGAGATTAGTTCAGTAGCATTGAAGCCTGGAATTCATTTCTTCACAGTATGCTCACATGGAGCTGGGGAGATGGCTCAGGGTTTAAGGGCACCAGCTGCTCTTTCAGAGGCCCTAGCTACTATTCCAAGCATCTACATGGCGCAGCTGCCTGCAACTCCAGTTCCGGGGATCTGGCACTCTTCTGGCCTTGGGCACCAGGCACTCATGTGGTGCACAAACATGTACAGGCAAAATACATGTACACATAAAATAAAATAGAATAAAGTCAGTTCAAAAGTAAAATGGCTGGAGAGATGGCTCAGAGGCTAAGCGCGCTGGCTGCTCTTCCAGAGGTTCTGAGTTCAATTCCCAGCAACCACACAGTGGCTCACAACCATCTGTAGTGAGATCTGGTGCCCTCTTCTGGCACAGGCATACATGCAGATAGAACACCGTGTACATAATAAATAATATAAAATATCCCTACCTGGGGCAGGGATGTAGGGATGGAGCATGTGCCTAGCATGTGTGAGGCCCTGGGTTCTATCCTTGCTCCTGTGAAAAAGGAAATAAATAACAAAACTCTGTGTGTGGTTCTGCTGGGCGTCTGCAGGTAAGAGCTTCTGGGATCTAAGATGTCCGGGTGATTTTGAGGTTTTAAAAAGAGATTTGTTTTATTTTGTATTTGTGTGTATGTGAGTGTGTCTGTGAGAGGGTACGGCACAAGTGTGCAGGTAACCCCAGAGGCCAGAAGAGGGTGTCAGATCCCCTGGAGCTGGAATTACAGGGTGGATGTGGCTAGCCTGGGCAACTTAATGAAAATCTGACACAAAAATAAAATGAATAGGACAGGTGTGGTGGTGCATGCCTTTGATCCCAGCACTCAGAAGACAGAGTCAGGAGGATTCTTTTTTTTTTTTTTTATAATATCAATTTGAGGCTAGCCTGGTCTATATAGTGTTTTCCAGGGCAACCATGGCTGTGTAGAGAGATCCTGTGTCAAAAAATAAAATAAAATAGTAAAAACAGAGCCAGGGATATAATTCAGTGGCATAGCATTTGCCTAGACTGCAAGGCCCAAAGTTCAATACTTAATACTAAAAAAAAAAAAAAAAAAAAGTGAGGTATGGTAGTTCACCTTGTAATCCCAGCACTCAGGAGACTGAGGCAGGAGGATTGTCACTAGTTCAAAACCAGTCTGAACTACATAGTAAATTCTAAAACAAAGAATGGGATTTTGTCTCAAACTTCATGAAAGAAATGTCAGTAGCAGTGGGCAGTGGCCAGGGTGACGCCAGAACAGCAGGTTTTTCAAATGCACCTCGTGGCTACACTTGAGCACGTGACCTCTACCATCTGGAGTCCTTGACAACCACTCACCAAAAGGCCACACTGTAGCTAGGCATGGTGGCTCACGCCTTTACTCCCATCACTAGGAAGGCAGAAGTAGGCAGATCTCTGAGTTGGAGACCAGCCTGGTCTACAGAGTGAATTCTATGACAGCCAGGGCTACACAAAGAAACTGCCTCAAAAACCGAATTAAAATTTTTTAAAAAAGAGGTCACACTGAAGAACAAGGCCACCTTAGAGAAGATGCCTTTATCAGGCTGTCCCCAGCTCTGTCTAAGAAACAGAAGGTGAAGAAGGGCTAGGATGAACTCGATCTGGAAGAGGATCCAGATGCCACATCAGGAAAGAGTCCTCTCATCCTTAGTGGGTGGGAGTGGGACCTGCCCCAGGCCAGGTGCAGTTGCCCTGAGAAACGAAGATCCTGGGGCTCAAGGCTGCAGTGAGTCAGCTGCGAGCCCGCTGAAATGGTTTAGGAAATGGTTTCTCAGCACTGTGGGGCTGCTGTGGGCTGGGCTGAGTCAGGCACAGGGGGCCTCTGCCAAGGACGGAGGCGGAGGCGGGAAAGCAGCTGTGCTAAAGGAAACCCATGACAGCCAGGGACCAGAGCCAGGACTGTGGGGATCTTGCAGGCTGTCTTCTGGCTTGCATCCTTTTCAGGTGGCCCTCTAGAACATAGAGGAGCCCAGGGACCAAAACGGGACAGTGAAGAGACTTGAGTCCTGACCCCTGGAAGCATCGGGGAGAGGCTCTTAGGGTGCTTCCTGGTACAGAGAAAGCTCTGGCTGTGACTGTGTTCCCACAGCTGGGGAGCTGTGATGCAGCAGAAGGAAGAGTCTTATTTTTGCCTCATGTTGCTTGGCGCCCGTAT